GCGCCTTCCTACCTCTCCTCCGCCCCGCCCCGCTTCCGGGGCTCCAGTTCACCCGCGGCACCCAGACTGCAGGTGCCAAGTCACAACTGCAAAGAAACTTCCTCTTCCCGGGCGGGGATGGGACCTGGCCCGGTCCCGAGGCCCCCGGCCGGTGGGCTTGGACGTTAGGAGCAGAACCCGCCCCAGGTCCCGGTCTGTACGGGCGTCGGTGCCCTCTGGGGCTCGGGCAGACGCACCCAGTCCCTGGCCGACCAGGCGCCACGGCCCACCTGCCCCGGTACCCGCCGTCGGACCCCGTTGACCTGCACCTGAGGATGTTGTCAGCATAGGTGAGCAGCAGCTTGGAGGCCTCCAGAAAGGTCTCCGGAGTGTTCTGGCAAAGCTCAGCCACGGCCGGGGACGCCGAGCCTGAGGAGCTGCCCAGCGCCGCCGCCGCCATGCTTGAGCGCCAGCGGCTGTCGCCGCCCCTCGCGCTCGCGTCCCACACTGAGCAGGCGCCTCAGCGCGCGGCGACTACCGCAACCACCGGGAGGGGCGGGGTCCTTGGCCGGCAGGGGCGGGGGCCTGGGCCGGGAGCAGGGGAGCTCGGCGGCGTGCGGTGGCGGCCCCTTGGGGACGGGCGTGGGGCTGATCAGAAGGGGTGGGGGCCTCGGGCGGCAGGGGCGGGGAGCTTCGACCCGAGGTTGGTGCCTCGTCTTGCGGGTTGGGGCGGGGTTCCGCAAGGAGGGGCGGGGCCTGGGCGCCGGTACTGAGGGGCGTGGGCCGGGAGGAGGGCGTTTTCTATCCTCAGGACCCACGAGCTCGGCTGGACGGGAGGCAGGCTTCTGCCTCACGGCACCGGGCGAATGGTGCTGGCACGTTCCTCTCAGAAACCCGGATCCCTCTGTGCCCTGGGCCAGCCGAATTGATCCAGCTACTAAAGCGGAGAAACCGCATGTACCTCCCTCCTTTCTTACAAGTAAAACGACCTTAAAGCCATCTCCTTCGCTGGTTGTCAGGCCGTTCTACACAGATGTGGATGAAAGATCCCAGAAGGAAGGAGCAACAGACGTCAAAAACAAAACCATGGCTATAAACTCGGCTGGGTTTGTTACATGAATTCTTTTCAGAATTTTGAGAATGACTGAAAATCAAAGTCCCAGCTCAACTAGTATATGATTCCTCTGTTTTGCTCTTGTTACCCAGACTGGAGTGCAATGGCGCGATCTCGGCTCACTGCAACCTCCGCCTCCTGGGTTCAAGCAATTCTCCTGCCTCAGCCTCCTGAGTAGCTGGGATTATAGGCGTGTCTTTTTTCTATTTTATTAAAGAATGGTGTTAGCCAGGCGTGGTAGTGCACACCTGTAGTCCCAGCTACTTGGAAGGCTGAGAGGCAGGAGAAGCGCTTGAACCCAGGAGGCAGAGGTTGCAGTGAGCTGAAATTGCACCACTGCACTCCAGCCTGCGAGACAGAGTGGTACTCTATCTCAAAAAAAAGAAAAAAAATAAATAAAAGAATAGTGCTATGATATGTCAACTCTAAAAATGATGTTTTTAATAAAGGTGAAATCCTGGAAAAAAAATATTTTGGGACAAAAAAAATCAAAGAACAAGTATTTAAATACTGATTATTAGACCATTCTTTGGTTGTTTGAAACAATGATTGGTATAAAGAAGGTTAGGGTAGCTTATTCAGCTTTTCTAAAGGAAACTGTAGAATTAGCATATCTCTAACTTGACTGAAATGGACGAAGCAGCCAGGAAAATGAGACAAAATCCCTTATTATAATTGGATTCCCTTCATAGCTTTATAAATGGTGGTATTCAAAAGAGATTATAGTTACTCAAGAACTTTAAAAGAAGTGTTGCTAAAGAGTTATTTGGAAGGACTTAAATTTCAGATGATTTTAAAATTTTATTTATTTATTTTTAAAAGAGATGGGGTTTCATCATGTTGGTCAGGCTGGTCTCGAACACCTGACCTTGTGATCCACCCGCCTCAGCCTCCCAAAGTGCTGGGATTACAGGCGTGAGCCACCGCGCCTGGCCCTCAGATGATTTTTTTAAAATAGTGATTTCTAAGATTTTTGGACTATACATTGTTATCACAGTATTAATGCTATGGCATTGGTTTTCACAAAAGTCATTTGGTAAGAAATGCACAAAAAGTGCATGTGTACTATCAAATGTAAGGATAAATGTTGATTTATTCATTCCATAATTCATTCATCCATTGTATATTTATGAAGTGACTACTAGATGCCAAGCAATGTGAAGGAGACAAGTATGGTCCCTACTCTCATGGAAGTCATAGTAAGTTTAGAGCAGTGGTTGGACAAGCAACAGCAGCATCACCAGGAAACTTGTCAGGAAAACAAATTCTGAAGCTCCATCTTTAAAGGTGGAGCCCAGCAATCTATGTGGTAACAAGCCCTTCATGTGATTTTGACTCACAGTAAACTTTGAGAACTACTAAGGGAGGAAAATTTCACTGTGGGCTCTAGTTTCAGTGAGGAGGGGAGATTTGAACAGAAGCCCTAAACTGAGAGGTTAAGAAGGTGAGAAAGGAGAGGACTTGCTAGCTGTGAAAGACTCCCCACCCTCCTTAAATCATGTACAACATCCTAGTAATGTTTCCTTCTCAACATCTCCTTGCCATTGCCTTCAGAACCTCTTCACGTTTCATCTATTAACTTTCTTCCCTGTGTCCGTTTCCACATCCTTCTAACCCACCCTGTTCTTTTGTGCAATAGTGATCTTTCTAAAGCACCCATTTGATCATGTTGGTCTCCTGGTAAAAAGATTTCTATGGCCCCCCTCTACCCACATTCTAAGTTAAGAACCAGGCTGGCAACTTAAATTTTTAAGTGACTTTGTTCAAGACGAAAGGAGTAATAGAGACTCTGGTGAAGGGAATGAGAGAGTTTACCATGTCCTTTCTAGAGGACTTTAGATTCAATAAAATACTGTTGGTTCACACGTGTAATCCCAGCACTTTGGGAGGCTGAGGCAGGCGGATCATGAGGTCAGGAGTTCGAGACCATCCTGGCAAACATGGTAAAACCCCGTCTCTACTAAAAATACAAAAATTAGCTGGGCATGGTGGCACACACCTGTAGTCCCAGCTACTTGGGAGGCTGAGGCAGGAGAATTGCTTGAACCCAGGAGGTAGAGATTGCAGTGAGCTGAGATTGCACCACTGCACTCTAGCCTGGCAAGAGAGAGAGACTTCTGTCTAAAAAAATAAACAAAAAAAGAATGGTACACTCCAAATTATACCCTGGAGGCCAGCATATGCTCTCTGAACTGCGGGATTAAATACAAAGTCCTCAGTATGACACCCCAGGCTTTTGTGATCCGGCCCCTGCCTTGCTTTCATGCTTTTACTGTTGCTTTGTCCCACACCTCAAATATGATGTTGGCCACATTCTCAGCAGTTTTGGAAGATACCATGGCACTTCATTTCTCCAGGCCTTTGCTCTACTCCTCCTGCCAGGATGCCCTTTCCCACCCAATTTACTAGACAAACATTCATTTCCAAGATGCAGTTCAAGGATCATTTCTCTGAAGCTTTTTCTGACTTCACTAGGTAACACAGACCTCATTGTCCCTTTTGTGTTATAATAATTCTATTATAGCACCTGTTTCAATAGTTTGCACTTGTTTCTATGGCTGTCTCCCTTTACTAGACCATGAACTTCTTGAAAGCAAGAGCTATACCTCTACTCATTTTTGCATTCAAGCATAGAGAGGAAGAAAATGAATGGTTGTTGAAAATAGCAAAAGTACAGAAATGAGAAAAGTTAGGGTCAATCAAGACATAGTGTAGTGAGAAAATCAGTTTACTGGGTGGAAAGCACATTTAATAGAGAATGGGAGCTATAACTGGAAAGATAGTTTTGAATCAGATTACAAAGAATTTAAGGCAAACCTAAGAAGTCTTAACAGAAGGTTAGGATAAGCAGAGCCCATTTGAAGATTTTGGTGCAAGAAAACACAACGGTATTATAGCAGGAAACATGGTACCAAATATATAAAGCTGTAAAATATCATAAAATTTCCCACCCTTTCCAGAGCAAAGAAAAGGTGATAAGAGGTAGGTATAAAAATGATAGTCTTTTTACTTTTAGTCTTTTTACTTTTCTGCAAGATTTAATTTGTCACTTCTTATCCGAGATGATTTTGTGATGTTATAAAAGAAAAACAAAAAAGCACATTAAAACTGTATGATCGCCAGGCACAGTGGCTCACAGCTGTAACTCCAGCACTTTGGGAGGCTGTGTCTCTAATCTGGTGATAACGTTAATTTTTTTTTTTTTTTTTAATTGGAAGCAAGTTTCTTAGGAAAGTAAAGGAACAAAGAATGGCTACTCCATAGGCAGAACAGCCTGGTGACAACTTTTAAGAAGTAAAAACTTGATTACAAAAACATTTGTTTATTGTAGAAAAGGTATTAAATAAAGCTAAGCAAAAATGAGGGAGATCACAATCATTACACATCTTGCAGACCTTTAAAGAATTATTTTTGAAAAAACAGATATACACTGTTTTGTAACTATGTCTCCTAACAGTCTCAACATCTCATTAATATTCACCTGTAGAGTTATTTTAAACAGCTGCATGGCATTTGGAGATACACAACCAGTAGGATACGATGGGGTTCCTTCTCTGACAACATGGGAATATTTGGGCATTATCACTGCCAAAGAAAAATGTCTTTTTGATGGCGAAAATGCTATTTCATCGCGTTATGTGCAGGTCCTTGATTATCGGCGAGTCACTGAAGTTCCGAGAGGGGTTCTTTTGAGGCAAACAGGTACCCCGTCGCCTCCCACAATCTGACCTCCGCCAAGGGGACGCGGCTCAAAGTCAAACGGCGGAAGGGGAGTCAAACGTGACCCGTGCGTGGGAGCGCGCATGAGCGTACGTGCGCGCGCGCGTGCGCGTGTGTTCCGGAGCGTCGTCGCCTAGGACGGTGGCTGCGTGTCCTCCGCGATCCCTGTTACAGGTATCGCTCGCTACCTTCCTCCTTCGCCCTTCCTTTCCTCCTTTAAAGTCACATCAAGTCGGGGTTGAATTTCGAGAGGGGAGTCCGAGGACCTGGGGCCTGATTTCTCTTTCTCTCTCCACGCTGCTTCGGGTGTGTACATGTGTGGCGGTGCCTGAGAGGCGGCACAGGGAATGGCTACACCGTTCTAGTCCCGCCCTTGGCCTCCGTAGCACCCTTGAAATGATCAGCCAGCCCTAACCACTCCTTCCACAGATGATTCAATTGGAGAAGTTTAGAGGAGTGGAAAGACTTGTCCCCTTCCCCCAGTCGCAAGCTTGGTCACAGAGTCGATTGCCAAATCATGTATCCAGACGCTCAGTCTAGGGCTCTTAGCCCTGGGTGGCCTTTTGAAAAGGTTGGTTATCCTTAAGTATTGAAGAGTGATAAAGCCACTTACCTACTTAAAAGAATATGCCCTGAAATGCGTTTTCTGTGCCACTGACACCAGAAATGCTATTTAGAAGTTATCCTGAGAAAGGATGCTTCCTGCAGCTCATATCAGGCTAGAGGTGCTTTTATATTTTTCATTGAATTACTCTGTTTCGGTGAATCCAATGAATCATCACTTCATTTCTTTGTCTTCAAATGTCAGAGGGCACTTAAAATCTTAAAAAGGAGATAAGTTTAAACAGGTGGTTTGATGATAAGGTATAAATTAAAATTATGGAACATCTTCCCTGTGCTCATTAGCAGCTCATATCAAGCACCCAAAGGAACACCTTGGATGTTTTTCCTTAGGCCCTTAAGCTTTTTAAAAGAATATCTCCTAGGTGTGTTGTGGTCTGTTACAGGAATGTGCTTCTGATCATCTGAATCTTAATCATGTCCAACTGCCTGCAAAATTTCCTGAAAATTACAAGCACTCATCTTCTGTGTTCAAGATTATGCCAGCAGTTAACAAGAAGTAAAAGGAAGTTTTTCGGAACTGTGCCAATATCCAGATTGCATAGGCGAGTTGTCATTACAGGCATTGGCTTAGTGACTCCTCTTGGTGTTGGAGCTCACCTGGTTTGGGATCGTCTTATGCGAGGAGAGAGTGGAATTGTTTCACTGATAGGTGAAGAGTATAAGAGTCTCCCTTGCAGTGTTGCTGCTTATGTGCCAAGAGGTTGTGATGAAGGTCAGTTCAATGAACAAAACTTTGTGTCCAAATCAGATATCAAGTCCATGTCTTCTCCCACCATCATGGCTATGGGGGCTGCAGAATTAGCCATGAAGGATTCCGGCTGGCATCCTCAGTCAGAAGCTGATCAAGTGGCTACTGGTGTTGCAATTGGCATGGGAATGATTCCTCTTGAAGTTGTTTCTGAAACTGCTTTGAATTTTCAGACAAAAGGTTACAATAAAGTTAGCCCATTTTTTGTCCCTAAGATTCTAGTCAACATGGCAGCAGGCCAGGTTAGCATTCGATATAAACTCAAGGGCCCCAATCATGCGGTGTCCACAGCCTGTACCACAGGAGCTCATGCTGTGGGAGACTCTTTCAGATTTGTAGCCCGTGGTGATGCTGATGTGATGGTGGCTGGAGGTACAGATTCTTGTATTAGCCCTTTATCTCTTGCTGGGTTTTCCAGAGCCCGGGCTCTGAGCACAAACTCAGATCCCAAGTTGGCATGTCGACCATTTCATCCAAAGAGAGATGGTTTTGTAATGGGAGAAGGTGCAGCTGTGCTGGTGCTGGAAGAATATGAACATGCTATTCAAAGAAGAGCCCGGATCTATGCAGAAGTTTTGGGCTATGGACTCTCAGGTGACGCTGGTCACATAACTGCCCCTGATCCTGAAGGAGAAGGTGCCTTAAGGTAAAGATGGGTTATTTCCTTCAAAATGAAAATATTTCTCCAAATAAGACACTTTATTGGAGTCCCAGATTAGGGAAAATTGTAGTATCTGGCCTTGATGTACAGTATCTCTATCGTTTTTCCCTTTTAGACTAAAGAAGATTTTTAAATTCTTTGCTTAAGACATTTGAAGTATTTCAGAGCATTTGAATATCTTTACAAAAATTGCATTTGAGTTAAACTTAATAGAGTTGCAAAAAAGACCATGTATGTCTTTGCCAATTTGTCATGCCTCCATTTGTACTTAAGCATCAGTGTGCTCCCTCACAAAGTCCTCCTCTTTGACCCTTCATCAGACTTGGAAAGTAAAGTCAACCCTTCTAGATGTGTGTGGTCTTTGCCCCATTTCAACAGACTTCTGTTCTTTTCAAGTCAGCACTTCTCAAACTGTAATCACCTAGGGATATTACTTAAAATGCCAATTCTGATTCTGTAGGTCTAGTGTTGTGATTGAGATTCTGTTTTGTTTTGCCTTTTTAGAGACAGAGTCTCGCTGTGTTGCCCATGCTGGTCTTATTGCAGTCTCTAACTCCTGGGCTCAAGCAGTCCTCTCACCTCAGCCTCCTGAGTAACTGGGACTATAGGAATGCACCACTGAGACCAGTTTATTTTTTTATTTTTTGTAGAGATGGGGGTCTCGCTTTATTTCCCAGGCTGGAAGATTCTGTAGTTCTAACATGCCCCCAGGTGATGGTGATCTTGCTGGTTTAAGGACTATATTGAAGTTAACTGTTATAGATTAGTACACGTAAAATGAAAAAAAAAAAAAAAGTCCCTGGTAATGTGTTAATGGGTAGTTAATAGTTTAGCTTTCTTAAGTCATATTATGTTTTACGCAGTTAAATTAGCCAGAGTTAGCAACCTTTCCTGTAATGGGAAAAATAATAGTAAATATTTTTGGTTTTGTGGACCATGGAGTCTGTTGCAACTAATCAACTCTGCCATTGTCATGTGAAAGACACAGACAATATGTAAATGAGGGGGCATGAATGTGTTCCAGTGAAACTACAAAAATGGGCATCTAGCCAGTGCCATAGTTTACCTACCCCTAAATTATACTTTTGAATTTTATTTTACTTTTTTTAATTATTATTTTTTAATAGAGATGGGGGTCTTGCTATGTTGCCGGAGCTGGTCGCGAACCCCTGGCCTCAAGCAGTCCTCCTGCCTTGGCCTCTCAAAGTGCTGGGATTACAGGCATGTAATTACAGTCACATTACAGCGACTATGCCTGGCCTGCTTTTGAATGATAGTGAGTAGCTGCTGGTGCTAAAAATGTCAAGCATAGTAACAAACTAGATGAAATGGTTATGTTCACAGGAAATCTTTCAGCATACTTCAAATTATACTCTGAGCTGGCTGTTAAGAAATATATATTTATATACACTATACACACACACATACACACTATATATATACACACACAAGCACACATACATACATGTATATTTCTTTTAGGAACTAAGAGGAAGATGACATCCAAAAGGTTTTCAGAGGTTCCTTCAGATATATTTTTTACTTTTAAGTTTGTTTGGCTTGGCTTGCCTTTGTAATTCCTTGTTTAGAACTCTTGTAGCCAAAATAAAGAGGATTTTCAAAGGTTATTTGAAACACTGAAACAGTAGATTATTGGGAAATATGCCAAGTTTTAAATTAAATATAAAAGAAAAAATTAGAATTCTCATAAAAAGTTACCATACTCAAAAAATCCCTAGAAGCAAAATTATTCTAGCCTTGAGTCAACATGGTTTTTTTCCTCCGAGGAAAAATGCCAATGCAAATAAATGAAGTTATATTTTATTTGAGATTAAACAATCCTGCATTGGCTTGTGTATTTAACTCTTGGTGATGAAACAGTTTAAGGTAGTGAGTGTAACTCATTATTCCCATGCAGATGGCATCCTAACTCACATGGTAATCCAAGATGGGGTTCTGTTACTAGAGTAAGGGTTTCTTTTCATCCAGTATGCTCAGATACCTACATTTGTATCACATAAGCCATATAGATAAAGAGAGTTAAAGTTAAACTTAGTCCTGATAAATGTCTTTTCTTGTTTTATTAGGTGTATGGCTGCTGCTTTAAAAGATGCAGGTGTACAACCTGAAGAGATATCCTATATCAATGCACATGCTACTTCCACACCATTGGGAGATGCTGCTGAAAACAAAGCTATCAAACATCTCTTCAAAGACCATGCATATGCCCTTGCAGTTTCCTCAACTAAGGGAGCAACAGGACATCTGCTGGGAGCTGCAGGGGCGGTCGAGGCAGCTTTTACCACACTAGCTTGTTATTATCAAAAACTACCACCTACTTTAAACCTGGATTGTACAGAACCAGAATTTGATCTCAACTATGTTCCACTAAAGGCACAGGATTGGAAAAGTGAGAAAAGATTTATTGGGCTCAGCAATTCCTTTGGTTTTGGTGGTACTAATGCAACACTTTGTATTGCTGGAATGTAGAACAAATCATTTATAATTAAATATTGATTTTTAAATGTTATATGTGAAGAAATTATATATTTATATATTGATACCCACATATCCTTTATGTTAGGGTTTCTCAACCTTGGCACTGTTGATATTTGGGTACGATAATTCTTTGTTGGGAGAAGGGGGATTGTACTGTACATTGTTGGGTGTTTAACACCATCCTGATTTCTTCCTAATCTATTCCAATAGCACTCTTTTCCCCAATTGTGACAACCAAAAGTGTTTCTAGACATTGCCAAATGTTTTCTGGGGGAAAAAATACCCCTCCCCCCACCCATGAGAACCAGGGATCTTCCTACTACTTTAGGTCAAAGAGTTTTCTATAATATTTGACCTGCTCCTGTGCCTTTCACAGACATTTAGTGACCAACTCTTCTTTGCTAGGCAGGATTGCTATACTATAGAACTCCAGGTGTGCCATTCCCATAGAATATATAGAAAGGACTATAACGAAGTTTGCATCAGCATTCTTTGAGTAAAACTGTCAGCCAGTAATGATCTAGTTACTTCTTATATACCTAGCCTTCTTTTCTTCATATTATCCACACTGTAATTCAGTATAATGAAATTTCTCTAAACTCCCAAGCCATCAGTTCTCTGAAAGACGAAACTGAAACTGATTTGCCATTTCTTATTCTTTTTGTCTTTATGTTGGCACCTAGTCATTAACAGAGATAAAAGTCAGAGAGAGCCTTCCCACTGTGATCAAAGTCCTACAACTGGGAAGGAGAGGGGCACAGAAATGAAAGAGGATAGGAGGGGGTCTCAATCTGAAGTACCATTCTAATAACGTTTTGGCCAGCCCGATGGGCTGCAAAATCTTTTTTTTTTTGAGGCAGAGACTTGCTCTTGTCACCCAGGCTAGAGTGCAGTGGTGCAATCTCGGCTCACTGCAACCTCCACCTCCCAGGTTCAAGCAATTTTCCTGCCTCAGCATCCCGAGTAGCTGGGACTACAGGCGCTTGCCTGCCACCACATCTGGCTAATTTTTGCATTTTTAGTAGAGATGGGGTTTCCCCATGTTGGTCAGGCCGGTCTTGAACTCCTGAACTTGTGATCTGCCCCCCTCAGCCTCCCAAATTGCTGGGATTACAGGCATGAGCCACCCTGCCTGGCTCAAAATCTGTTGTTAAAGGAGTTCCACATCTCTCCGGAATGGGCCTGCATTAGGACCCATACCATGCTTGGTCACAGGCTGTGAGCTGCCCAGGCACAGCAGGAGATCTGAACTGTCCATTTCTTGTGGCCATTATAAACTACCCCTTGCACCACAGAGATCTATTTCTCCAAACAGGTTCATGAGACAGCTCCTTCGTGGTTCCTGTGGGCCTTTCTTTCTGAGGAGAAAATATATATGAGGGTAGTTAGTAGGATAAATAACAGCCTCTAAGACTGCAGTTGGTCTCAGGTCCGCAAATGCTATTCTTCTCTCTAATCCACTATTCATTCTAAATTCCCCTTACCTTCAGCTATCATCTTGTCAGGCCTTGGTGGCTTCCCTAGTATTGTAACTCAAACCTTAATTCCTCAGGAATGTAAGCCCTTGGTAATCAAACCATTCCCTTTTGAGACAGTGGCTGCTGCATGTAGAGCACTGAGATCAGGAGGCAAGGAAATGCCAGGAGATACCCACATAGATTACCTAGATTCCACATATATTCTCCCTGTCCAAATTGTGTGAACACAACACTACCTTCTCCATCGGATTAGGGTCAACTATCACAGTTAGTATGTTGACTTTATAGTTCTTGGGCACAAGAACTTCAAAGTGTCCTAGTGGCACCTACATCTTGTTCAATGTAGTACTTGTGTCTCCTGGCAAGAGTGTGTATCCTTTGGAGACCAGGACTTCCAACTTAAATAATTTATTTATTTAGCTTAAATAAAATCTTATTTAGTTGCAGTACATCTCTGCAATGCTCAGAATTGTAAAATGGGAAGCATGAAATTCCTTATTGTGATTGGATCACTAGAAATGACAGTAAGTGGGGCCACTCATGTTTCCCAACTGCCTTTGTTTCTGAACGTATATGTTCTTTTTATTGCATACTTAATCCTATATAAAAGTTGTTGATGTAAGCACGTGCTGCATCCTGAGGATGGCACCACATCCAGTCAGAATTGTCACTGAGCTGGTGATTCAGGTGTGCCTTTAGAAGGCACTTCCAGCATCTTTGAAGCTGCTATTAGATGACATGATATGCGATACAAATTACGGAACCAAGGTCATAGGACCATTTTGTTTGCTGTACAATAGGTCCCCCTGCTCAGCTGCTATGTCATAAGGGATTCCATGCCTGTGGATTATTTATTCCATAAGCTTGCAGATAGTGGTGCTGGCTGAGGCTCTGTGGGTAGGAAAGGCCAACCCGCATCTGAAATAGGTATCTATACCCATGAAGATAAACCACAGGTACTTCCTTTTGAGGTAGGTTGGACACTCAGAAGCAACAGTAGCAAGATATTGTTACTTGCTATTGCTATATCTTTCTGGATATAGCAAGTAACAATATCTTGTTATAGCAAGATATTGGTAAGTGAAAGTCTGTATTGTTGAGCTCACAGGTAACCTTCATTTTTCCCACTGTAGCCTCTTGATTCACATGCCTTTCATGCAAGTTATATGGTAGCCAATGACCAAGGCTGGCTGTCAATTGGCAAAGTCATTTTGTCTGCTTGGCTCTTTAGTCCCTCTACTGGGTTGGATACTTTCTGGTAGGTATAAATGTGTGATGCAGAAGTCTTTACCCTTCAAAAAGGGTCTATATGTCCATCCACACGCCTCTACTCAAGATATGGTTCTGCTGTTTCCATCCTTCTTTTTCTAGACTGCTGACTAACGGCCAGGCCTTTGGACACTGCCCAGGAATTTATATATGTTCTTACTTCTTGAGCCACTTCTACTGTATGAAGTGAGTGACCAGATGAAGCTCTTCCTATTGAGAAGATTTTTCCTTCCCAACATCTTTCAAGGCTATCCCTGAATGTGGTTGTGATGCAGCTGCCATTCATTTTCTACTTGAACTACTGTAAGACATGGTTTAGGACGTAGAATCAGCAGGATATGGTAATTGATACCTTCACCTCCCTCCCTCCCCAATTCCTTGCTTCTTAATCTTTCCTATTTTCCGTCTCCACCTAGAATATAAATTCTACCAGAGGAGAGATTTTGCTACCTCTTTCACTACTATAGTTCCTGTGTCTAGAACAGTACCTGGTACAAACTGGGTCTCAATGAGCATTTGATAAACAATGAATGAATCTCAGTAAATTGTTCCACCAACTACCTATAGCTCAGATCACAAGACTAGTAAGAATCATCCTTGATTTCTCCCATTTCCTTTTTCCCTTTCCTAATCCTTCAACAAATCTAGCCAATTACATTTTCAAAATATGCTCCGAGTAGTCACTGCTCTCCATTTCTACCACTGTTGTCCTTTCTTCCCTGAACTGCAAGGGCCAACGTTTTGGTCTTCTTGCTTCCCCTTTCCATTGCTTTCTAAGTATTACTCATTCTTATAATAGCTGACAAATTGATCTTTTTACAGTGTAAATCGGATTGTGTCATTTCCCTGCTGAAAATCTTCTGATGGCTTTCCACTTGACTTAGGTTGAATTCAAACACCTTACCAAGGTCTATGAGACCTCACAGGGCTTCCCCCTTTAATCTTACCTCATACTGCTCATGCTCAAACTGTGCTAGTGTATCAGCATCTGTATCCTCAAAAACACCAATCTTATTTCTGCTCTTGTCTGGAATACTTTCCTCTTTATGTGAAAATTGGCTTCCTCTTTCTATTTGACTTTCAGTACAAATGTCTCTTCTTGAGAGAGGCCTTCCCTAGTCACCAATTCTAAAGTAACCCTTTTTCATCTTTCCCAATCCTTCTCCTCCCCACATCCCAGTGGTGTTATTTTTTTTTTAATATATACTTTATTGCGTTTTAGGTTTTGGGGTACATGTGAAGAACATGCAAGTTTGTTGCATAGGTACATACATGGCAATGTGGTTTGCTGCCTTCCTCCCCATCACCTATATCCGGCATTTCTCCCCATGTTATCCTCCCCAACTCCCCATCCATTGCTATCCCTCCCCCGCAGTGGTGTTACTGAACATCTCTTTGCTTTTCCAGAGTGGTGCAAAATGGGAGATTTGGGCTTGGATCTAAATCACTAACACTGAACCTAACTTTTATTCATGAAAATAGATTCAATCTGTAAAATGGAGTCAGTATATTACCTGTTTAACAATGGTTTTGAGACTCAAATCCTGTTACTTAATATACTAATCTTCATATCTTTTTCACTATTAGAAATTACCTTTGAAAAATATATATTTATCTTTGGGGCTTTTTTCTTCCCTCTGGTAGTATATAAGCTTCATGGTAGAGAGATCTTATCAACATTGTGAACAAAAATGCTATTCCCATAACTCAGCAAAGTGTGTAGCACATGCATGTGTACACATATACATGTACACACAAGCACATATACCAACAAAAACAGAAAAATTTTTGTTCCAACAGTGACTGAAAATATCTGTGTTATAGGAAGGACAACAAAGAGAAGAAGTTCATCCATGGTTTTAGAAAAGTAAGAGAGCTGTCATTACCATCAAGAGTGAGTGCAAGGGATGGACCTTATAGCCATAATTAGTGGAGGCACTAATGCTCATTCTCTGTCTAGTTACTTGAGACTCATGTTTGATCTTTGGTACCAAAGAGGAAAGGATGATGAGTATCTTGGTAATATCTTTAGAATTCCTTAGAACAAGCAACATATCTTGAATTCTAAGAGACTAAATATGTTACCTTGAACAAAAATGCCCCTAGCTTAGGAATCAGCTAATTTTTGTTTTGTTTTCTGTAAAGGGCCAGATGGTAAATGTTTTTGGCTATGTGAGTCATATGGTCTCATCTGCAACTTCTCAACTCTGCCCTTACAGTGCAAAAGCAGCCGTAGGAAAAAAGTACAAATACAAATGGGTATAGCAGGTTTTGGCCTTCAAGG